GGAACTAAGATCTCACGTGCCTCATGGCCAAAAAACCAAAGCATAAAACAGTAGCAGTGCTGTTACAAATTCAGTAAAGACTTTAAAAATGGTCCACATCAAAAATTTTTACAAATTAAAGAAAAAAAACTTTGGAGGCCATTCCTTTTGGCAGATTGCACTTTGGAGCTGGGACACTAAGCTCCTGCCCTGAGAAAAGAGGCAGGGTGGATATGTAATGCTCAGGGTATTCAGCACTGAGCTCAGAGTTAGAAGTTCTAACTCTAAACCTGCCACCCCACCACCTTGCTGTGTGACCTTGGGCAGATTGTGTCTTCTCACCAGAGGATTTCTAAATCCCACACAGCTCCAGGATTCTAGGATTCTGTTTTGGTTTGCAGGATTCTGCTTTTGATGTCCAGGAGTATGCAAATGAGGCTGCAGGAAACTAGCGTCCTTGGAAACCTGCTGGTTAGTCTGGTTTTGGTGTTTGGTCCACTTGGGAAAGCAGAGTGCTGCTTAAGCCCTGCAGGCTCTGGGGATCAGAAAGACAGGCTCAAACTCTGACTCAGCCACTTCTTAGCTCACTAATGTACTTAACTTATCTGAGCCTCAATTTCTTCATTATGTAACATGGGGTTAATAATAGCACCTATCCTAAAAATATTACCTGCCTTTTTTGATCTTTCACCCTACAAATGTTTGTTGAAGTCTCCCTGTGAGGCACGTACTCTGTTAGGCATTGGGATACAGTTATGAGAAATACCAGATGGAACACAGACAATGACGGGGTAGTCATACTAATGAATATTTAAATTTTAACTGTGAAAAGTGCAGCTAAGAATGGCAACAGTTATAAGACTCTGTAACAGAGGAATTGATGTAATAAGAAAATTTACGTAAGATTTTCCTGGGAAGGTGATACTTGCTTTGAGCACTTAAGAATGAGGATAGCTAACTGAATAAGAAGGGAAACAGGATGTACAAAAGTTTTGTGGTGGCATATAAGGTAGAAGGCCAATGAGGTTGGAGGGAAGAGAATAAAAGAGAACTAGGTGTGGGGGAAGAGATATGCATGGTCTCATGATGTTTTGCTTTTATTGTAAAATCAGTGGGAGGCCATTGAGGGGTTATGCAGGAAGCTGTTATTATCAGATCTTCCTTTAGATGAGATCTGTAACTAAGAATAGATTTGGAGACAGGTGGTAAAATTAGTTCATTAGTTAGGCACATCAGCACGGAGGCCACTACTGTGGTCCAGGTGAAATAAGATGGTAGCTTAGAAAGGAATGAGGATAGAAGGAGTTAGAGCAAAGTAAACAGATTAGAGAGCTATTTAGGAGATGAAATAAACAGGACTAGGTAATGGATTGGATGGGCTGGGATTGGAGGGGTGTAGTAAGGGAGAGGAATTTGTTACAGATGATGCCCAGATTTCTGATTTGGATGGCCAATGGTGCCATTCTCTAGGAGACGTACTCCCAAGGGAGCAACAGGTGTTGGGGAAAGAGCCTGAATGATTTTTGGACCTGTTGGCTTGTGGTCCCTTGAGACAATCAAGTCTAGTTGTCCAGCAGGCAGCTGGATCTGTGAGTCTGAACTGGAAATACAATTTGGGGAAAATTAGCAGAGACAGCAACTGAAACCATGCACATGAATGAAATGCCCCAGGAATCAAGTATTATGTAAAGAAAAGAGAGGACCTGGGTCTCAACCTTAAGGAAACTCAACATTTAATTTTGGGTAAAAAGAATGAGCCTAACAAGGTGACAAGAAGGTAGGGGAGGTGAAACCAAGCCTAAAAATCGTGGGTCACAGAAGTGAAAGCAAGAAGGATTCACGAAAGAAGGAGTGCTCAGCCATGTGGAAAGATGATGAAAGGTCAAGTAAAATAGGACTGAAGGATGCTCATTCCATTTAACAACACAGAAATCATCAGTGACCTTAGCCAGAGCCGTAAATGTGGGGTGACAGGGTGGATGCCAGGGTTGAGGAGAGAGTGGGAGGTGAGGGAATGAACACAGTGAATATACAACAGTGTTTCACAACTGTGAAGGGGAGGAGAGAGATTGGACAGTAGTCTGAGATTCCCTGGTGGTCCAGTGGTTAATAGTCTGAGCTTCCACTGCAGAGGGCACAGGTTTGATTCCTGTGTGGGGCAGTTGCACATGTTAAGTGGTATGGCAAAAAAAGAAAAAAAGTAAAAAATAAAATACTTAGGACAGTATTCCACCCAGAGTAAACTGGGGACTGAGGGTATTTGCCTTAGAGAAAAAGATATGAGTTGACCCTGACTTTAGTGCTTCCACATGTCATTAGTGAAACATTCTAGGACAACAAAAGGGACTCAGCTCTCTTGAAAGGGAGAGCTGGAGGACAGCTGGGCTAGGAAGAGATTAAAGCTGCTTTCTTCAGAAATGACATGGTCCACGGTCAGGGAGGGCAGGCAGAGTCAGTACCTGTGGTTGGGGTGATGCGTGGGGAGGAATGATCTCCCTCTGAAGGTCCCAACCTCCAGAGCACCCCTCCTTCCGTGTGCTCAGTTGCTGGGTCATCTCCGACTCTTTACGACCCCATGGACTGCAGTCCACCAGGCTCCTCTGTCCATGGGATTCTCCAGGCAAGAATACTGGAGTGGGTTGCCATTTCCTTCTCTGGGGGATCTTCTTTACCCAGGGATCGAGCCCGTGTCTTTTGAGTCTCCATTGGCAGGCGGGTTCTATACCACTAGCAACACCATGAAGCTTTCATCAGCTACTTCGACTCATGGATATTCTCAACTCCTGTAGCACTGAGGACTCTGTATGGTATATCAATTGTTTATATGGAACTCTAAATCAAACAGATGCTACTTGTTAGAAGAAACTTACTTTATAAGTTCAATATTTATTTAAGATCAATAAATGATTAAAATGAGGTTGTTCTCAAATGTTTAAATAAAAAAGAAAATTAGGAGTTCTATTGGCTGCAGGAAACCAACTTGTTCCTTTATTTTGTTTTGACTGTAAAAGAACCTTAAAATTCTGATTCATTCAGATCAGTAGTTGCAAATAATAAGAGTTTTACCTAACAATGTCAAGATATTCTCTAATTAATCGAAGATGGCAGGATTAGGGACATATGCTGGTGGTCCAGTGATTAAGACTCTGCTTTCACTGCCGAGGAAAAAGGTTCAATTCCTGGTGGGGGAATTAAGATCCAGCAAGACGTGCAGCATAGCAAAAAAAAGAAAAAAAGGGTGGCAGAAGGACATTTATTCTAAGGTTTGCAAAAAAGTGAACTAGCCCAGGGAATAAGAGGCTTCCAATGTTTAAAAATATATGTATGTATGTATGTACATATGTATATACACACATTATATTTAAATTTGACAAACTATTTTTTCATATTTTAACTGCTTTATTATAGTTTTTATTTATTCCTCAAAACAACCCTGTAAGGTAATTAGTATTATTATTATCCCCATTTAATATGAGGCTCAGAGAGATTAGGCAGACTTCCGTTTCTGGAAACATGGAAGCCTAGATACACTAAACAACCCTTGCACTAAAAACAACTAAATATTCTGGATTAAAAAAAAATTATTAAAAAAAAATTATTTGCGGGGATGGGCTGTGTATGGGATCTTAGTTCCTAGTCTAGGGCTTGAACCCAGGCCCAGGCAGTGAAAGTGCTGAATCCTAACCACTGGACCTCCAGGGAATTCTGTGGAAGACATGTTTTTAATGCAGCAATGATTTAGCATTAAGAAAGGAAGTAAGAGGGCTTCCCTTGTGGCTTAGCAGTAAAGAGTTAGCCTGCCAATGCAGGAGACACAGTTTCAATCCCTGGTCTGGGAAGATCCCATATGCCATGGAGCAACTTGGTCCATATACCACAACTACTGAGGCTATGCTCTATAACCCAGGCTCCACGAGAAGAGAAGCCACCTTCAAGAGTAGACTGGGCGCCACAACTAGGGAGCAGCCCCTGCTCACTGCAACTAGAGAAAAGCCCTTGCAGCAACAAAGACCCAGCGCAGTCAAAAATAAATAAATAAAATTATTCAAAAAGTAAAAAAGGAAAGGAAGTAAGGAATATACAGAGTGAAAGAAGGAATTCAAATAATTGAGAGGTTGTTGAACCTGGCTATCACCCTGAGGAGGTCTTCTCAACCTTAGTAAACTTAGGTTTGAGATTTTATATACCCGGCTCAGAAGACAGAAACTAAGTTTCCAAGATTCTTGTAATGTTTGAAAAGAGGATAAAAATGCTGATTTAGTTTAGATTTCAATAATTCAAGGATGTAGACTTTTTCTAAGACCATCACCAAAACAATAATATCTTCCAAACTAATACCAGAAACAAGTGGAGTGAAAAAAAATTCAATTAAAACATACGCAAAACAAATCAAGCAGGGGGAAGACTATCAAAGGATGAAACAAATGAAATACACAAAATGCAATGTAGCAATCACTCCAAGTATTGTTTATTGCAATTAAAGATATATGTGGGTTAAATGCTACTGTAAAAGATCTTAGTATTTGTGGTCAACATCTACAGCCTGCTGGCTTTAAGTAAAGGAGATTATTTTTGAAAATGAGGGTAAGACTCATCTAATAAGTAGGAAGGTCTTGAAAGCAAAACTGAGATTTCCCTGAGGAGGAAGCAATTCTGTCTGAAGACTACAGCATCACCTCCTACCCAAGATTTTCCAGCCTGTGGACCTTCCCTACAGATTTCAGACTTGTCAATTTCAACCGCTGCATAAGCCGATTCCTTGAAATAAATCTCAACATCTATGTATCCTCCTGTTCCGTTCCTCTGGAGGACCCTGACAGATACACCCACGTTTCACTCACTTCTTCCCCCCTTTTCTTCTGAAAGCAAAGTGGGAAGGGAATAAGTGGATGGGGAGGAGGGGGAGTGAGAAGTGGTGGGCCAAGTGGGGTTGAACGAAGAACCCTCCCTATGTGATGTGGGGAATAGAAATGCAGGAAGCAGTGTGGGCAAGCCTCTCCACCCCTCTGGGGTTCATCATCCTGGAGGGCTGGGGACAAGAAAAGGAAGTAATGCCATCCCCTCGAGGTAGAGTGTTTTTAGCATCATGGTCCAAGGCCATTGGGAACCACCCCTCCAGTCCACCCTCTTTTTTAAGTAGCTGAAGCCTGGGCGACAAAGTCCCTTGCCTAAGGAGATAGCAGGTGAGGGGCAGAGCTGCTTGAGTCCCAGTTGGGCTGTCCATCTCCTCTGTGATCCATCAGGGATCCTGGATCCTTCCACAGTGACACTCCACCCACCCTTGTGGTCCCTGTGGAAGGCCACAACAGGAACCAAGAGGCACAAAGGACCCATCTGTCCTCCACATCCTCTCTCAGCTCTGGCTGCACATTAGAATCCCCTGGGGTGTTTTGTTTTGTTTTTTTTTTTAGAAATTCTGGTATCTGAGGTCTACCCCAAACCACTTTCATCAGGTTCTCTGGGGGACAAGTTAGAGCATCCACACTTTCTGGAAAGCACCTCCAGGTGGTTCTAGCACGCAGCTGGGCTGAGAGCTGCTGGTCTTGACAGAGCACAGGAGCCCCCAACTGCTGCATTTCACTTCCCATTTTTCACCTCGCATTTTAGCCTCCCCCATCCCTGCTGGCAGGCTGTCTGTTCTCATTATTGTCTGTGCTCTGCCTAGAAGGGGAGAACCAGGGGGGAGGCTGGCCCGGCTGGGAACACCTTCCCTGTCCCTGCGCTGCCCTGGAGTCTGGCACACAACACCCAGCTCCACGCCATCCTATCCGGAGTTGCCACCCCACCAAAGCAAAAATGCTAGTACACCTCCTTCTTTCCCTCTCTGCTGTGACCTCTGACACTTCCTTCTCTCTCTCCAGCCTCTCCTCTACCTCCTTTCCTTCTTCAGCACCCCCCCCCCTTTTTTTATATTTATTTATGACTATGCTGAGTCTTCGTTGAAGCTGAAACTCCAATACTTTGGCCACCTGATTGGAAGAACTGACTCACTGGAAAAGACCCTGATGCTAGGGAAGATCGAAAGCGGGAGGAGAAGGGGATGACAGAGGATGAGATGGTTGGATGGCCTCATCGACTCAAAGGACATGAGTCTGAGTACACTCCAGGGAGTTGGTGATGGACAGGGAAGCCTGGCGTGCGGCAGTGCATGGCATTGCAAAGAGTCGGACATGACTGAGAGACTGAACTGCACTGTCTTCTCAGTTGCTGCATGGGCTTTTTTTCTAGTTGCAGTGAGCCAGGGCTCCTCTTTGCTGTGGTGTGCTGGCTTCTCAATGTGGCAGCTTCTCTTGTCCTGGAGCACAGAGTGTGTGGGCTTCCCTGGCTGTGGCACGTGGGCTCATGTGTTGCAGGTCCCAGGCTCTAGAACACAGGCTCAATAGTTCAGTACACCCTGTTTTGTTGCTCCAGGGCCCGGGGGATCTTCCCAGACAAGGGATCAAACCTGAGTCTCCTGCATTGGCAGGTGGATTCTTTACCACTGAGCCACCAGGAAAGCCCTCCAGTCCTTCTTTACCAGAAGTTCTGAGCCCGCTTCTTGGCTGCCTTCCTCCCCAGACCTGCTGTTCTCCCTCCCGCATGAGTGGCTGACTAAGCCCCCAGTGGTGTCTTTCTCCAGGAGAGGGATGCGCCTTCCTCCAGAAGCCCTGGCTGCCCCAACCCCACGTCTACAAGCACTTCCTCCCAGATCTCTATTGTGGCCGTCTCGTTGACTTCAGACCGCAGGCAGAGAGTGTGTCTCCCTCAAGCCCTTCTCTCTTTCCTCTGAGTGCTGCCCGAGAAAAATTTCCAGTGAGAAAACTGCAAGAGCTGCCAAGACAGACTTTGGACTGCTCTGTGGTACTTTCCCAGTATTGCAGAAGCTTCTCTTGATACCCTGCTATATGCCAGGCACCAGGATTACAAAGACGAGTAAAGCAGTCCTCTCCCTCAAGGAATTTATAATTAAATAAAAGATAGAATTTCTTATGGAACAGGGGAGAAAGGATGGGAAGGGTGGGATGGGGGGGTGGGAAATGAATACTTGTCTCTATCAGGTGCTGGGGAAATGCCTTCTTCTCCATTTCATATAGAGTTTTATGGGCAAACTCCAAATAAAAGGCCCTATTTTCCCTTTTATATAGAAGAGGATACTGATGCAAACAAGTTTAAAAGCCTTGTCCAAGTTTAGATAGCTATTAAGGGACAGGGTTAGGGGTTGGACCCAGGTTTTGGACTCTAGTTTCAGCACTTTCTTGGAGTCTGATGGTTATTTCATGCCTGACCCAGTGCTCTTCACCAGCCTGAGCCATGGGGATAGGAGAAACCCAGGAGCTGGGGGTCTGGCTTCTTGTCCTGGAAAGTGAAAGTGTTAGTTGCTCAGCTGTGTCTGACTCTGTGACCCCATGGGCTGTAGTCCGCTAGGTTCCTCTGTCCTTGGAATTCTCCAGGCAAGGATACTGGAGTGGGTAGCCATTTCCTTCTCCAGGGGATCTTCCCAATCCTGGGATCGAACTGGGTTTCCTGCATTTTGCAGGCAGATTCTTTACCATCTGAGCCACCAG